CAAAAACAATGTATTAAACAACATGAATTATGGATAAGGTGTGGCCCTTTCACAGCCGTCAGTAATTAAACACGAAAGCAATGCATGACAAATATAAACTTGAAACTGAAAATATTAATTTCAAGTTTCAGTCCGTAACTTTTTTGAAAATTATATAATTCCGAATATTTGTTGAAGGTATAGCATTTAAACAATGGTGAATTACCATCATACTAAACTAAAGAAAGCAGTGTCTAATATATGAGATATCTGATCTGCTGTCCGTGTCATATAATAGGTTATAAATAGCGACACGATTTCTTTGCCTGGGTTTCGACTGAAGTCCGCGTTTGAGCAGTTAAAATGTTGTAGTGCCCCACGTAATCGTATAGTGCGCAAAATATGCTACATTTCTAGATTTAATATTTATTTACCTGGCAAACGCTATTTCCTCTTGGCACTCAACACTTGTACATTTTAAGCTCATTATCACTGCTAGCCTAATGGCATTAACACGCCAATCAACAATAGAGGGGACATTTATTAAGTCGTATACGTGAGTAATAAACGGGTATTACTATACTATATGTATATCTGTGCTTCAGAAGCATACATTTTATGCTGTATTTCTGCCGTTTTGCTTTGCTGTAACTCAGAAACACCGCTCACAAAAACTCAACGTGTGTTAGTAGTGCGGACCCCGCGCAATGGCGAGCACAATACGGCGCGGACGTGACTCGAAAAACTGCCACTATTATCACAGTTTCACTTCACGGGTAAAAACTATGGATTGTTGTTGGTAAACAAAAACAAAGTAAAACTAGTCTCCCATTATTAGCGATTGTTTTTTAGTCAGTCACGTCCGCGTCGCAGACTTTGGTGCATCTTAAGGCTAATTTCCACTGTTACGTTTTTCGTACGCACGTACACACACGTAAAGCTTTGAATCCTTCTATTTTTTAAATATTTTACAAATAAGTTAACAAATGCATACTACAAAAACCTAAATAAAAAAACTAAAAAATAAAAAAAAAACTTGCGGAACACTAAATTCTGTTGCTTTATTTATTTGGTTATATCATCAGTAACATTTAAACGGATTTAAAGTTTTACGTGCGTATACGTACATATGAAAAACGCAAAGCTCCCTAATAGGCAACATGACCGTCAAGGAATTTTTAGACATATTGCCTATATTATATTAAATGGTAAATTATTTTTACCACATCTTAAAACGATTGAAGGCCTTTTTTCAGAATGTATAAAATTGAGCTATGAGAATAATTAGTGTAGCGAAAAAGCTGGATATACTATATAAATCGATTATTTTATTGCGGCAAAAACAACAGTTATACCAGTATAATAATGGATCGTTACAAAACCCCAGCTGGTAGAGATGCAACTACGTACCTTAAAAGTACAAGGAGAAATTCGACGTTTTGAGCGAAACCAAAGGCCCTTCGTTGGGAAGTCAGTATAGCGACTATACAGGGCCCGCGGAGCGTATTAGAGAGTGGGGGGCTAAAGGGTGAGGTTTAATTAATTTAAAAAGTTTCATTTAGATTTCTATTTTAATAATTTTGGCTGTCAAAAAAAGTGGGGGGGCTAAAGCCCCCCCCCCCAGCCCCCCCGTCTCCGCGGTCCCTGCTATATAGTATACATACAAACAGCTGGGCATTTTGTACGGAGCATGCGCGAAAAAATCAATATGGCGACATATTTATAGGAGTGCTTCGTGGATTTATCTGGTTTTAAAGCTGATAAAACAATATTTCAATGAATAAAAACTTTGTAATATTTATAGTGGAAAACATTAAGCTATGCAGTCCAAAGGTTTTAAATTAAAAATAAGTACTTTTGCTTTATTTTATTGCTTTTTATGCTTTCAAAATAGGCAAGCTCATTTTTTTTGAAAGAATCTAAACTAATATTTTACCCATCATTTGTTTAATCTGAACAGAAATTGATAGAACACTTGGCTACATAAGTTATAAAGGGAATTGGTAGCTGATCTGAAAGATTTCAGTATTCCTGGTACACATTTTAGCAAAGAATGACTGTAATTTTAAAAATTAAATATGCATATCAAAAACAATAGTTTTTATTAGAACAACACATAAGTTGTTATTTTCTATTTTTAAAAAAACAAGTTTGGAAACAGAATCTAGTCGTCCAGTTTGATGTCATATTCCATTTATTTGGATATTTGAATAAAGGAATGTGAAATAATAATTGAAACTTGTCCAAAATTTGATACCAACACTCAAGTGAACAGATACTATCACCTAAAAATAAAAGAAAACAGAACTTAAATTTGTCATATAATGCTATGAAAAAGTCTTAGATATTACAGGCATATAGTGAGCACAATGCTTTAACAAACTCACTAAAATAAGTTAAGTTATGCTATGATAAGAGGATGGCAATATATGACAACATCCGCAAATGTTACCATCTTCAGTGTCCAAAAAGAGTGCCGCGCGCATTTTTCCCAGCATACCCACTAACTTTTCCATGAAGGTTGACTAATAAGGATAGTTTTAAGCCATATTTCGGAGAGAGGCAATGGTAAAAATTTTAAGATATTTTTATTTATATGCCATATCACCACAGAATTTCACAAAGCAAGCATGCCTATATTCAGGATTGCCGTTAGACTCTTAAAACTGAACAAATCAATGCGGCATTTCTTATCTCATAACAACCAATACTTGAACATTTTCAAAAGCATTTTTGCAGCAATTTTTACTTTATAACAAACCAATACAGGAGCAATTTCATAAGCATGTGACAACATGACATTTTCACTTCACAAGTGGATTTGTCAATTACAACATCTAGCACATTTTTCCCATGAATAGCTCAGGTTTTAATAAAACAAAGTATGATTTAACTTTCATAAAATATATTTTCTAACTGAAGGCAACGGCCAGTTTCTACGAAATTGCAAGAGGAATATGTGTCATTTTCATCAAAATATGTATTTTAAGACACTTATTATTCCAGATGAGGAAGGACAAACAAATTATTGAACATACCTGTGGAAACAACAACAACTCAGCTTCTATCAAGAGCAAAATATGAACACTTCCTTGTTTCCATACTGCTGTACCCTGCTTCTGAAACTCTGACAATGAGTGAAACATTTCCACTTGTCGCCCATTTGTAAATAAAAATTCTTCGCACGTTTTCATGCGATTAAGTCGTTATATCGTTGCGTACATGCACTACAACTTAATCTTTCAAGAAACGCTTTATTTTCCATGAACAAACCAGTAAAAGAGGACAAAAAATCCTCTCACAATGCATATTTTCAACGTTCGAAGAATCAAAATGTTTGTTAAAGAAATGCGCCCGCAATATTTAGACAGCGACAACAGAATGCCCAGCTGTTATACATACATAGTTGGCTACTAACTTCCCGACGAAGGGCCCTCGGTCGAAATGTCGAATTTCTCCTTGTATTTTTCAGGTTAAATGTATCTCTATCCGCCGAAGTTTTGTTATTACTGGCAATACCTACACAGGCACAGATCACCGTTGAATAATAAATCGTTGTTGTTATATTTTGGAAAGAAATATGATGACGCACCGGCTTTTGGATTTATGCAGAACAACAAATATATATAATCGTTTCCAGACGTTCTCTGGCAAAACAGTTTCATTGAATTCGAGTTTATGGCTGCGAAACTTCAGCTTTAATAGAACTGCATATTAAATCATGCTGACAACATATGTCACTTTCAATAGTAGTGAAGGAACACATTGCCAGGTTTGAAATTTTGTTTACTTGTCATATGAAACCAGTATGTCTACAGTGCATTTCTGTTAAACCTTCGCTATCGGATATATTTACGGCTTCAGTCTTGCGCTGAAAATTTCGAATCCATGGTAATGTAATATTATACAGTACAGTTTTCTGTTAACATGG